AATCTCGGGACGTCATTCTCCCCCTGTACTCGGCCTTAGTGAGGCCGCAGCTGGAGTACTGGTGTCCAGTTTTGGGCTCCACAATTCAAAAGGATGTGGAGAAGCTTGAGAGAGTCCAGAGAAGAGCCACGCGCATGATCAGAGGTCAGGGAAGCAGACCCTACGATGACAGGCTGAGAGCCCTGGGGCTCTTTAGCCTGAAAAAGCGCAGGCTCAGGGGTGATCTGATGGCCACCTACAAGTTTATCAGGGGTGACCACCAGCATCTGGGGGAACGTTTGTTCACCAGAGCGCCCCAAGGGATGACGAGGTCGAATGGTCACAAACTACTTCAAGATCGTTTCAGGCTGGACATAAGGAAGAATTTCTTTACTGTCCGAGCCCCCAAGGTCTGGAACAGCCTGCCACTGGAGGTGGTTCAAGCGCCTTCATTGAACACCTTCAGGATGAAACTGGATGCTTATCTTGCTGGGATCCTATGACCCCAGCTGACTTCCTGCCCTTTGGGCAGGGGGCTGGACTCGATGATCTTCCGAGGTCCCTTCCAGCCCTGATGTCTATGAAATCTATGAAAGAATTTCACAATGCTCTTTTTTTCTTTTGGGTTTTTTTTCTCACTAGAACTGCACTTCCAAGTGTTCTTGTTTCCAAAGAAATTAAAGAACTCCATAGACTTACCCAGGCAAAACTTTATTGAAATCTAGTTATTTCTTTGAGGTTTTCCCTTAAAGTCAAAGAAATGCTCACTCTCAAGTGTACTATGGTGTATGCAAAATTCCATAACCTAGCTGAAAAATTGAAGCTATTTTGAAGAAAAATTGATCCTATATTTTTGGTTGAGATGTGAAACTTCAGCAGTTTATATCCATTGAAACTTTTCACATTTTTTTCACTAGTTCTAGACATTCAGAAATTGTTTAAGGGTCTCCCTTTTTTTAGTTGTTCAAGCATTAAAAAAAATATTCTGATGAAGTTTGGCCAGTGATGCTGGGGAATCTTAAAAATTGGTCAGCCATGTATCCTTCACATCCCTATCCCTCTCCCAGGCCATTTGTGTCATGTCTGCTTACAAACTCTGTAGAGCTTTTAGTATATGCAAAAGGCAGCTCTAATAGCTAAATCATTTCTTGGCAAGAAAGAAGCTTTCATTTTATCTAAGATAAGATGTTCTGTGGTTCCATTAATGCAAAAGGAAAGTCATAAATGTAAGAACTTTATGGAGCAAAACATTCTGTCATTAGAGATGGCTTGATAAAAGTTGTGACCTTAATGCTATGCTATAGTAACAACTCGGAAGTCTGGTGTCTTCTGGCCATATAAGGCATTTCCTGTACTTTCCTATTAAAGTGTTGCTTCCCTTATTTAGAGGGATCTTTCATAAGGATGAAAGTGTAACTGAGTATTGCTACCTATTCAGCCTCTAGATTCTCTGCTGACAGTGCTAGTTTTGTTGGTAGCTTTTTCTGTTGTGGACACGGATCTATTGGAAACTCACTTGTGAAATGAGCTGGCAGTCTTGTGACTGATGGTAAGCAAGTAGTTGCTTTCTTGTGACCAAGTAGGCTTGGTTTAAGCAAGCAACCTAGACTTCATGTCCCATTACCTAGGCCCTGACATATTCAGTCCTCTTGCTGTTTCTAAGAAAAAAGAATTTTGCTTTGCTGGATAGTAATAATAATAAATATGTTTTTCCCCCCCAACAGCCCCGGCACAGATGTCACTACAGAGCTAGACAGCTGGATTGACAAATTCTGCTTAGATGCTGATGTATTTGTCTTGGTTGCTAATTCAGAATCAACTCTAATGAATACGGTAAAATACTGCTTTGTTAATTTTGAGTTAGATATTCATTTAAATACACAACAGCTTATTTGACAAGTCCATTGGTTTGTGGGCATGTCAACATGGAAGGCTTAGCAATTAATCTAGCTAGACTTGTATATTAGTATTTTAATTACAGTACAGGTTAATGAAAAAATGTGGCATAACAGAGCGCTGGGGTCTTGTTCACTGCTTTTACTGATGATTTGCCATCTGATTTGGAGCAAGTAACTCATCCTGTCTGCCTTAGACTACTCCCTGAAGCTATAGTAATGCTTTTCCAGATATGTGAGTGACTTGATACTCCACTGAAAGAGAAGAGGGGCTAATACTATTATCAAGGAAATAAGCTGCACAAAAGTGCTTGAGAGAGGTTTCTTATTGGATTCTTATCAGATTGGTACCGATATAAAGAAAATTTGGATATCGGCCCGATAAATGCCCCTGCTGCAGAGCTGACAACATAGAGAGCTGGCTCCAGCTGGTGAGTTGGAAGGGGAGGAGGAAGGGAAGGCATGGGGGGTGCAGATCACCACCCCTACAGTGTGGGAAGGAGGGGGCGGGGGCAGGCACTGCCCAGGTGGGGTGGGGGTGTGAGACGGAGGCATGTGGGGGGCGCTTGCATCCCTGGAGGAGGGGTGCCCCCTGGATCAGCGCAGAGGGTGGGGCTGGAGCTGGCACTGCACAGCTCTTCTCTTTAGGGGCTGGGCTCGGAGCAGGCCCCAGGAGCGCTATGAGGGGCTGCAGCCACCCCAAATTTTGCCACAGCTCTGCTTCAAGCCCCACACTGCCAGGTGCAGCCCAGCTCCATGTCGTGCCTCTACCCATGTGCTGGGAAGAGCTGAGGCTGCGCTAGGAGGCTGGCGTCAGTGGGACTGGACCTGCAGCCAAATTTGGAGTGGCTGGCGGCCCCCCC